CCCCCCCCTCCCTCCCGTCCCCTGGCGGGGCCTGTCTTCCCCCCGCAGGGAGGGAAATAGATTGTCCTCGATTCACCGGCACCTTGTTGTACCATTGGCAGTTGGCGAGGCTGTTATTTTCAAAATTGCCCCCACGCCCGGCGGCGGGGGATCGCCACCCCGAGCGCCGGATGGCCCAGGGGGGGGGGGGGGCACGGGGGGACAGGCCCTGCGAAGGCCGCCTGCCAGTTGAACGGAGGGCAGCCTGGGACCGGCGCGCCAAGCCCTCGGCCGGGGATCGCCACGGGCCCCCCGCCGGATGGTCCGGGGGTGGTGCCGGGCATATCAGGAGGGCCGAGGGAGTTATTTCCCCCCATGTTCGGGTTCGCTGTTCGGGCCACTGGCCACCCCTCTCTCAGCTAGCCAAGGCAGTTGGCCCTCGTTCAGCCTTGCTCCCTCACCCCCCCCCCCTCCCATATCATCCGCCCTCCTCCTCTCCGCCCCCCTCGCTCGCTTTCTCGCCGCACTTCTTCCCTCGCTCCCTGGCTGCGCCCCCCCCCCCCCTCCCTGCCCGAAGCATGACCATCTCCTGCGGCCCCGGCGGCCGGACGCCCCGTCCGGAGGTGACCTTCGACCCGGCCCTGGGCGAAGGCTTCCGCATCACCTCTTTCGGCCAGCCGGTGTCGCCGGAGCTGATGGCCATGGATGCCGAGGCAAAGCAGCGGGCGTCGTCATCGTCGGCGGTGGCCGGCGGTGGCAGCGGCCTTGACGGCATCACGGCCCAGTTTTCCGGCATCTACCAATCTCGGCTGGAGGGGCTGAAGCCGCGGGCGTTGGCCGCCGCTCGGGCCGCCTGGCCCGACATCCCGGCCAGCCAGCATGTCGACAAGGTCCTGGATATGCCGCTGCTCGGCGACAACTCCCTGGAGTCGAGCCAGCACATGGTGGGCAAGATCCCCTGGCTCGGCCTGACCGCGACCGACCGCCCATCGGCACAGCGCTCCGTCGTGTGCGGTGTCATCTATGCCGAACTGCCCGGCAAGCCGAATGTCATTGATGAGCTGTCGCGCTTGGTATGTCCCCCCGTCGCCGCTGCCCTCTCCTCCCCCGCGGTGGGATGGTCACCGACTTGCCTCCCCCTGTGGTGCAGGGCCCTGACACCGTTTGCCTGGTCGCCTCTTTCGTTTCCCAGCAAAATATCCGCCCCGTGGATCCGGCCACTCGTCCGGCCAGCTTCGGGACCCCCACCAAGGGGGCTACCCCGCGGCCGGCTTTCTTCGCGCTGGAGGACGAGTCTGGACGGCTGATCCTGTCTGGCCCGCGGATCTTCCAAGAGATGCTGGTTACCGGTGCGTGCATGTGCCTGTCTGTGCCCGTTGGGCTTTTGGGTGTGGCGAGTGGTGGGCCTCTGCCGATGGCAAGCTGGCGTACATTTTCTCCCCCCCCCCCCCCCCTCTCTCTCTCTCTCTCTCCCTCCCATACACACATGCGCACACATGTGCATGCACATGCATTTCTGCCCGTCCTCCCGGTGCTGACTCCACCCCGGGCGCGGATGCCCACATCTGGCACCCTGTGTAGGCGTTGTCTGCGCCATCCTCGGCGTGCAGCTTATCCCCGGGGAGCTGTTTGTGCGGGACATCTGCTTCCCGCTGCCGGCGCCACAGCGTCCCCTGCCGTCGGCCTCGAATACGGGCAACAGCCTGCTGGCACTCACCTCCAATTGGAGCCTCGGGGCCGGGACCGCCGGCACGCCGGCGGCCCTGCTGGACATGCTGGTGGATTGGGTGGCCGGTCGCGTGGAGGCAGTGGTCTCCGACGAGGAGGCCGGGGATCAGCTGGGCGGGCTGGGGTCAATGATCCCCTCGGCATCGAAGAGGCCCATGGAGCCTGGGGTCCCCTCGCCGGTGAACATCACCCGGCTGATTGTTGCGGGCAACCTCTTCTCCAAGCAGGCCGACTACTATGACAACCAGGATGTCGGCCGCGTGAACCAGCGCCGGAGGGAGGAGCTTCGCCGGCAGGAGGAGCACACCGCCGCTCAGATGGCCCAGGCCGACCTGGCCATCGCGCAGCTGGCCCAGTGTGTGCATGTGGATGTGATGCCCGGCGATGGGGACCCGACACCGATGCAGCATCCGCAGCAGCCCCTCCCCGGGTTTGTGTTCCCCCGGTCTCGCCGCCTGCCCCTGTTCAGCACCACCACCAACCCCTATGCCTTCTCTGTGGATGGGGTTGAGTACGTGCCTCTTGCGTCTTTTTCTTTCTTTCTTTCTCCCTCTGCCTCTCCCTCTACCCCCCTTGGCGTCCCTGACCATGTGCCTGCCTGCCTGCCTGCCTGCCTGCCTCGTCGTCTCGCCATCCAGTCTGGTCGGCATTTCGGGCCAGGCGCTGGACGACATCATCCGGTATATGTACCCGCTGGCGGCCGAGGTGCTGCGGCAGGTTGGGATCCCGGTGGCTGATGATCGGCCCGACAGCGGTGATCTTGTGCCTGGCAGCCCGGCCGACATGGCTGCTCGTTTCCATGCGGCGGAGCTCCTCCTCCGGGCGTGTCACTGGTCTCCGACCGCACCTGACACCCTGCGTGCGTGCTGTGCCGCATATTCCGCTCGAGATCCATCTAAGTGTACTGACCCCCGCACCGCTGTCGCCGTCGCCGTCGCCGTCGCCGTCGCCGTCGCCGTCGCCGTCGCCTTCTCGCTGCATGCAGCCTGCTTCCCCTTCTGGCATGGCGATCGCCTGCTGGCCAGCGACACGCGCCTGCCTCACGTCCTTTTCATTGGCAACCAGCCGGCTTTTGCCTCGCGCGTGGTGACCCTCAACCAGAAGCTGCCCGACCGGCCGGCGGTCACCGTGCGCGTCGTCATGGTCCCCGGCCTGGCCACCACAGGGCAGATTGCGCTCCTGAATCTGCCAACGCTGGAGGTGGACAGCATGCACTTTTCCACCGCCAGCAGCAGCAGCAACAGCATCCAGCCGTGAGTCAAGTCAACTCTGCCCCTCCCCCCTTGTTTGAGAGCCCCTCGTGCGGTCGGTGGCCCCACTGCCAGCCCCCCTCGCTCGGATGACGCTTCGCTTGTTTGGGAATAAATACCGCCATACTCCTCCCCTTTCCCCGGAGGAGAACGAGGCACAGGGGAACGGGCGGAAAAAAAGCAAAAAAAAAAGCCAGCATGTGCAGGGACATTTGTGTGTATTTCGAATGCCACCAGCCAACCATCCCCCGCGGGGCCCCCGTGCTCTCGCCGGTGTTCCGGCTCTCCTCTTCCCGACACTCTGGGGATCATTGTTGCCGATTGCGCGCCCGAGCGCGTCTTCCTCCCGACCATGGCGAGAGAAAGAGAGAGAGAGAGGGAGAGGGAGAGAACGAGGGAGAGCACAAAGGGGCGGGCGGGGGAGGCAGGGAGGTGGAGAGGTGGTACCGAGTGGCGTGGGCCAGTCAGAGACACATCGGCGGCACGTGGCCCCGCGTGTGGCTACTGGCCACCGGCCGGCCGGCCGGCATGTGCGCCGATGGCCCTCCTTTTCAAGGACGGCAGCGGCCGGTGAAGCGGGGGTACAGGCAGACATCACGGACGTGGTGCAGGCCGAGCATCCAGGTGAGGAAGCGCTCCAGGCCCAGACCATAGCCACCATGCGGGCAGGAGCCATAGCGGCGCTGGTCGGTGAACCAGTAGTACGGGGTCGGGTCGATGCCCTCGCGCTCGTAGCCCTTCATGAGCTCCTCCAGGTCCCAGATACGCATGGACCCGCCGACGATCTCGCCGACACCCGGCATCAGCAGGTCCACGGACTCGGTCAGGCGGTTGTCCTCCTCGCGACGAGGCATGTAGAAGGACTTGACCTCGGCCGGGAAGGAGTGGAAGAGGATGGGCCGGTTGATGGAGTCGGTCATGTAGCGCTCGGGAGCCTCGGGGATGTCGTCGCCAAACACATAGGGGGTGCCATCGGGCTTGAGCTGGCCATGCTCGTTGAGCCACTCAATGCCCTCGATGTAGGACATCCGGAGGAAGGGGGCCTCGGGCGGGGTGAAGGAGGGGTTCACCTCGCGCAGGATCTTCCCGGCGACCGGGTGGTTCCAGATGTGGTTGGACACATCGCAAACCAGCTTCTCCACGCGGTTGAGCAGGTCCTCGAAGCTGATGAAGGAGCACTCGGCCTCGACGTGGGTGTACTCCGACAGGTGGCGGCGGGTGCGGGACTTCTCGGCGCGGAAGGACTGCGCAATGCAGTAGACATCGCCCAGCGAGGGGAGGACAGTCTCCAGGTAGAGCTGCGACGACTGGGTGAGGTAGGCCTGTGTGTGTGTGTGTGTGTGACGGTGTGTGACGGTGTGCGTGCGTGGTGAGGGAGAGGGGGAGGCGGGGATGGTTAGACCAGGCAGTGGGGGCGGGCGCGGGGGAGCAGCGGCGCGAGATGGCCACCCGGTGGCGTGCGCACATCCTGACCGTAGTAATCGAACTTGAAGAGGGTGGAGCCACCCTCGACCTGGGTCTGGACCATGAGCGGGGGGGTGACCTCGCAGTAGTTGTTGTCGTTGTAGTGGGTGCGGAAGGCGTTCAGGACAAAGGCCCGGAAGCGCATGATGTCCGAGGGGCCCTGGTCACGGAGGACCATGTGGCGCTGGTCCAGGAGGACCTCGGGGTTGGCATCGTCGTTGAAGATGTTGTCGGCGCTGTCCTTGCCACCCGGGGCGGCGGAGATGATCTTGAAGAAGACGGCCTTGAGCTCGAAGCCGTTGGGGGACTGGCAAGGGGGTGGGGGGTGGGGGGGGGGGGGGGCGTGTCAGAGGGCGGCGGCGGCGGTCGGGCGGGGCGCATCTAGCGGCGGCCCGGGCACATGATCGGGGCATCGGGCGGGCTCACGCACGGTCTTGCCCTTGGGGACCTGGTTCAGGGTGCCGTACACCTCGACGGTGGACTCACGAGTGAGGGTGAGGGCGTCATAGGTCTCGCACTGGCGATGCGGGCGGGAGCCGGGGACCGGGTGTCAGTGTGCGCAAAAAGGGGAACGCGAGGGGGCAGGTGTGCATGCAAGAAGGGCCGGGCCAGGCATCCCCCGCCAGGAGGGGGGGGGGAGGGGCCGGCGTGCGCGCGTACCAGCTGATCGTTGAGGACGCACTGCATCAGGCCGGTGCCGTCGCGGACGACGACGAACATGAGCTTCTTGCTCTGGATGCGAATGCGGTGGACCCAGCCCTTGATCAGGACAATCCCCTCGGGGACGGGCTTCTCCTCGCAGACGTCGCGGATCTTGATCTGTTTTTTTTTGTGCGGAAGAG